CCTCCCTGCTCTCACCTGCCGCCTTCCAACACCTGGTCTGATGGCTCCCTCTTCTACAGGCCTGTAGTATTAGATTCAACAGTGAGAATTTGACTTTAAAAAAAATATTTTTATTAATTTCAGAGAGGAATGGAAAGGGAGAGAGAGATAGAAAAAAATCAATGATGAGAGAATCATTGATTGGCTGCCTCCTATATGCCCCCCACTGGGGATCGAGCCCACAACCTGGGCATGTGCCCTTGACCGGAGTCGAACCTGGGACCTTTCAGTCCTGAGGCCGATGCTGTATCCACTGAGCCAAACCAGCTAGGGCTGCCTTTTTGAAAAATATATTTTTTAATTAATTTCAGAGAGGAAGGGAAGGAGGAAGGGAGAGAGAGGGGGGTGGGGGTGGGGAACATCAATGATGAGAGAGAATCATTGATTGGCTGCCTCCTGCATACCCCACACTGGGGATCAAGCCTGCAACCCAGGCATGTGTCCTTAACTGGAATCAAACCTGGGACCCTTCAGTCCACAGGCTGACACTCTATCCACTGAGCCAACCTGGCTAGGGCAAGAATTTGACTTTTTAAAACCCATAGTTAAATGGTGGCAAATTTCCTGTGGCTCCACATGCTTTGCACCTGGTTCACAGATAGCCCTGTTTGCTCTCTTGCATGTACAGCAGAAGTGCTCAGGCCTTGCTGCACAACGGAATCATCCTCAGGAGCTTAATGCCATGCCAGGCTGCCCCCAGGCCAAGTAAGTTAGACTCTTCTGGGTGGTGCTCAAACCTCAACAGTTTTCTACAGAGGCCCAGGAATTTCTGATGTTATACCAGAGTTGAGAATGGCTGAGATTATATATAAATGTTCTATTTCCCAGCAAGATCATGAGTATCTTCAGGCTCAGACCTTGTCCAAAATCTCTGGGTCTTTCATGCTCAGAATGTGCTTTCTCATGGGTCTAGAGTAATTCTAACAATTTATTTTAACCCCTTACAGAGCTGTTTAAAAGGAACCACAGAACATCTGGCACTATAATTTGACTGAGTTTTTTGAGGAGTGAGCTAAGTCTCCTTCACCTTTGTATGCCTAGTATTGGCACATTTTAACCATCAATAATCTTCATTGCAGCCAGCCGGTGTCGCTCAGTGGTTGAGTGTCAACCTATGATCCAGGTGGTCACAGTTCAATTCCACCACCACCCTCTCCATCCCCAGTCAGACCTGCAGCTTGATCCACAGTGTGGGGCATGCGGGAGGCAGCCAATCAATGATTCTCTCTCATCATTGATGTTTCTATCTCTTTCCCTTTCCCCTCCTCTCTGAATTCAATTAAAAATAATAATAATAGCCCTGGCTGGTTTGGCTCAGTGGGTAGAGCGTCAGCCTGGGGACTGAAAGGTCCCGGGTTCAATTTCGGTCAAGGGCACATGCCCAGGTTGCGGGCTCGATCCCCAGTCGGGGGCGTGCAGGAGGCAGCCAATCAATGATTCTCTCTCATCATTGATGTTTCTATCTCTCTCTCCCTCTCCCTTCTTCTCTGAAATCAATAAAAATATATTAAAAAATAATAATAATAAATCTTCATTGCAGGGACACTAGAGAGAAGCCAAGGCCTTGAATAAATAATCTCTCAAAATCACCAATTGTTGGCTTTTTTTTAAAGATTGCAGATCTCCACAGCCTCCCCCTTCAACCCCACAATGCTTCTGTTAATGCCTGTGGGATCGGAATTTAAGACATTCTATCCTTATTCTTCTCCTCCTTTCCTGCCACTCATGCCCAGTGCCTGGACTGGACCCAGTATGGCAATATCTGTGAGTTCCCACGATGGGGTGGGGGAGGGGGAGCTGCAGGGTTCTGGAATAAGTCCTTTTGCATTCCTGTCTCTGCTCACACCAGTTAGTCCTCCATCCCCTCCTTTCTGCCTTTCTTTTAAATATATCCCCCAGGAAGGCTTCATGAGAAAACGAATGAAAGCTCAAAGGGTAAGAAGCCTTCAGAAAGGCAGAAAGGCCCTGGCCAGTTTGGCTCAATAGATAGAGCATCATCCTGTGGGCTCAAGGGTCCCGGGTTCAATTCCGGTCAAGGGCACATGCCCGGGGTTGCAGGCTCAATCCCTAGTAGGGGCGTGCAGGAGACAGCTGATCGATGTTTCTCTCTCATCGATGTTTCTAACTCTCTATCCCTCTCCCTTCCTCTCTATAAAAAGTCAATAAAAATATATTTAAAAAGTAAATAAATGATTGAGCCCCTCCCCTGGCTGTCTTTCCCTTGCCTCCTTCCCTTTCCTCCAGATACATTCAGAAGAGTGTTTAGTTTTCAGAGGTGGGAAAGTTAGAGTTCCAATTAGACATCAGAAACAGGAATCAGAGGGCGGGGGGTCACCTGAACATGGGGAGGTGGGTGAGCTCCTCTTACTTCCTGAAGTTCTTTGGCGGCAGGATGTTGCCATCGGTGTCGAGTGGAGGTGCCCTTGCTTCACTCCTCAGCTTGAGTTTCTCCACTTCTTTTAGTTCTTTCACTGTCCTGAAGATCACCTGTTTCTTCAGGTTCTCATTCAAGAAGATAGGAGTACAGCTGATGAAGGTCAGATAGCTGTTTTGACCCATCCAGGAGGGTGGGGGGATGGCGGGCTCTGCTGGGGGATGGCGGTGGGCCCTGGAGTCGGTCAGCCAGCGCCAGACATTGCTATCATAGGGTCTGTCAGGCCTGCTGGGAAAGGTGGCGGGCAAGCGCCCCACGTCAAGCCACGTGTGAAAGCCCCAGGTGTGCTTGGTTTTATCCGCCCAAGGGTGGATTATTCGGTGGCGCACCTTGGACTTGATGTCTGTGCAGGGTGGCAGCTTCAGGGCCAGCTGGTGGTAGGTTTGCCGGGTGAAGCCAGGCAATTCCCCGGGCTCATCCGTGAGGAGAAACTCACGCTGAGCCCATGTGCGGTAGTCTGGGAGGGACTCGGCCAGGCACATCTAGAGAGGGACAAAGGAAGCGTGGGGCACTCTGCCTCTGCTTCCCGGGAGCGGCCCAGAGGAAAGGAGCTGCCGGCCTCCTCCACACCAGGGCTCTCCTGGGGCACTGGCGGCCTGGCAGGGAGTGTGTCTCCCTTCCGGCCCTGCCCAGCAGCAGGCAGGCTGGCTCTGTATTATTCCCATAGACCAGCGGTTCTCAACCTGTGGGTCGAGACCCTTTTGGGTGTCGAACGACCCTTTCACAGGGGTCGCCTAAGACCATCGGAAAACACATATATAATTACATATTGTTTTTGTGATTAATCACTGTGCTTTAATTATGTTCAATTTGTAACAATGAAAATACATCCTGCATATCAGATATTTATAACAGTAGCAAAATTACAGTTATGAAGTAGCAACGAAAATAATTTTATGGTTGGGGGTCACCACAACATGAGGAACTGTATGAAAGGGTCGCGGCATTAGGAAGGTTGAGAACCACTGCCATAGACTGTTGATCTTTTGTTCTCTTTCCACCTGCCAGGTTTGGGGTTGGTTTCCCACCCTCTTTCAACTTGGATTTTCCCACTCTTCACTTCTTTCCTCCACCCATCCTCTTCATTCTGGGGCCCCCCAATCCTGCTGAGGAACTCATGCTCCTAATGGGCACATCGGGCCTGAGGAAAGCCTGAGGGAAGATGTCCTAACCAAGCCAAGTGTAGGAGGCAAGTCTTTCCTCAGAGAAGGGAGCCTGGGTGCTTTTCTACCAGGACCCCTCCCATTGCTCGTTTCCCTGTCGTCGGTGCATTGCCCTTCTCATTAAAATACAAGCAAGCATAGAAAGCACCTAGGCTCTTCCTCCCTTCCCTTTTCTGTGCCACACCCCCATGAAATAAACAGTAGCAAATATGTAGGCACTGTGCTAAGTACTTGTCCACATCTCACTTAATGTTCACAGCCCTGTGAGCAGGTGTTGTTACGGTCCCCATCTCAAAGATGCAAAAAGCAAGACACAGTAAATATCTCACACAGTAAATAACTCACCCAGAAAGCCTGTGGCCATTTGTCGGCACTAATCATGATACTATGCTCTTCAAAAATGCCTCTCCCGCCAGTCCAGTCCTAGGACTTTTCTGGTTCCCCAAACTCCCATTTCTTGGGCCCAGTCCCCTAAATCATTACTATGTGACCAATGGCCCAGGAGATCTAATAACCAGGCTTCTCCTCTCCTCTCTTCTGAACTCCGTGTTCACAGTACCATAGAACTAAGGGAGGAAGACAGCGGGAGTTCACAGACTGGAGATCTGCTGCCTTGGAGAAAGCATGACCCAGGGGGACAGCCACTAGCCCAGTGGGGTACAAAAAGGTAGGTCTCAGAGATGGGGCCCTGGCCCCTACCTGCAAGAAAGGTTTCCTGGCATTGGATGGATTACTTTGCCCTCTGAGTGATCTTCCTGGGTTACAAGCCATTCTTCTTCTGGGCCTAATTGCCAGGAGGGGCAGCTTTATAGGAAAGACCTTACTGGCAGCATTGTTTGCTGCCCGGTTGCTATGGTGCTGTTTCCTGGGCGGTGCCTCAGGGAGGAGGGCTCATTAGTCCTTTGGGCCCTGGTTGCTCCAGGCCCAGAGCCAGGGGATGAGACAAGTTCTGACTGTGAAAGATGGAAATGGGAGCACTTCTGGGAAGGGACTGGCCTAGGAAGGCCTGCGGACAAAAGCAGGACAGGCTGGCTTTCAGGCCTTGGGTTGGAGGTAAAGGTGGTCATGAGGCACCTGTAACTGGGCTCATCCTTTCCTAATGTTCTGGAAGGTGTGCCCCCAGGTATTCCTTTCCCTTAGTGGGGACTGGCTGTACAGGACCATTATTGGGAAAAGTCATCTCTGTGTTAGAAAGGCTGTGTGCCTGTGCAGGTACCGTATGGGAGGTGGTCTATGCCACAGGCCTTTGCACTCTCAAGTGCTTCGTGTTGTCTTCAGACCTTGCTTGCCCATCTTCATCATCACCCACTTCCTTTCCCAATCCCTTCTTAGCTTAGGGACCAGACGCCAACACACCACAGAGAGAAACTCTTACACCCTGGATTTTATTGAGTAGTTACAGTAGTGTTCTTGCGCTGGCTCACATGCATATGGCCAGCTGGGGCCCAGGTGGCTCTTTGCAAAGCTGCAGTGCAAGCTAAGGAAGCCAGGCAGGTCAGGACCCTTTTAGCCTCCTCAAGCCTCAGGCCAGGTTCTCATCAGTGCTAGTCTCTCTGGCATGATTAGGGGGCACTATCAGAGAAACATCACATGGGCACACAGCTGGGCGCCCACACTCTGCTTCAGATGCATCCACCCCCCACTCCCAATTCAACTCTTGACACATTATGAGACAGTTTTACCAGGATTTCTTCTTGGAAACATGGGGAGGTGGGAGGGAAGAGCAGTAGAAGGCGCTCTGGCAAGCCGACCTGCTTGCCTGGGTGCCTACAGTAAAGAACCCTTGAGGCAGGCAACTTGGGCCTGGAGGAAAGCGTGGAACAGAAGCAAAGTGAAACCCCTGTCATCCTACCCACCTTCTGATAGTCTGTAGATAATGATCTAAGGAAATAAGCTTACATTTAAAATTAGAGGATAATTTGGAGCATATACACTATTTACAGGACACCCTGCAAGGAACAGGGAAGGTGAAACTGCTGGGCACAATACAGTTTGGGGAGTTCCTAATCTCTTTTCATCCTTGTTTCTGCTATGCCCACCCTTCAGCTCTCGCAGGGGGATTGAGGAATCAGATTCTCTAGGGGAGCATAGGGTGGCACAGAGTTCAGATACCAGGGCCTTGAGGCTTGTAGAGGGCCCAGTGGTGACTATGGCACGATGTCTGCCTTGGCATAACAAGGTGGGGCTAGAGGGCGGACAGTCCCTGCTTGCTGTCCTTACTCAGACCTTGGATGGCCCAGCCACTCCTGGATGGCCGAGTGGACAGCTTGAGCAGCAAGGGTAAGGTCAGGTCTCTACCGCAGCTCAGGCATGAGCTGAGCCCAGTTGATGTTGTCAGGGCCCAGCAGGTCCTCCTCCAGGCCAGGGAAGCTGATGTCCAGCAGAATCTTGCTCAGGCTGTCATTCATTGTGTCCAGAACCAGGCCTTCTGTCAGGGAACGGTTGGCTGGAAGGCTGGCAACCTGTGGCTCCCCAACCATGGGGTAGTCTGGCTTGGGGACTTCCATTTCTGAGGGGGAACAGCTACTAAAGGGGTCTGAGTTGAGGTCAAAGGGCTCAGAATTGAGGAGTTCTTGGGGTGAGTCAAAGAGGGGGATACTTTTCAGTGGGGTGGTACTGAAATCTGTCAGCCCCAGGGCGTCAGGTAGGGGGCCAAAGGTACCCTCAGGGGTTCGTACTGGGCTGAAATCTAACCCTCCAATTTTGGCTGGGGGTGTAAGACTCCAGGATTCAGGGCTCAAAGGGAGGACAGATTTGCTTGGGGTAGAGGAGACGGGCAGCGTCTCCTTAATGGGTGTCTTAAAAGGTCCTCCCTCCTCCTGGGAGTAGCCAAGCTGGGAGGGCTCTGAAGGGAGAGTGAGCTCTGTGGCTGGTTTTGAAGTCCCAGGGGCCTCTGAGAAGAGCAGCTCAGGCTCATCCACACAGGGAGGTAGTAGGTGCTGTTTCCTTCGAGACCGGCTCATCTCCCTCCCCTCCCTTCGTTTAATCACCAGCATTTCAGACACACACCGGGTTGGGGACCTGAGCCCACTGTAGGACTTCTTGGACTTTGGAGTGGGCGAGTGAGGGGAGTCCTCCTCCCAGGACTGAGACAGCTCCTCTTTGACAGATGGGCACGGCGAGGGCCACTCTATCAGGGGCGGGCTCTCCACCTTGATAGGCCTCCCTAAGTGTGGCATTTCCTCCCCAGCCTGTATTTCTTCCTCCTTGATGGGCTGAACTGGAAGCAGAGGAGACAGCCCTTCTCCAAGCAGGAATTTCTCCTCTTTCACTGGCCCTGCAGTGGGCAGAGGAGCGACCCCCTCATCAGCTAGCGGCACCTGAAAGGGAAGTAGGGACAAGATGAGAGGGAGCTCTTGAAGCCTTGAGATTCAACCCAGTCACCAGGAGGGACATAAGATGATGACTAAAATAAGTGACATGCTGCTACTAATCCTCTTTTTGTCTTTTTAAATTCTTAAAAACTATTAAATATGAGAATATATGATGAAGGTGGTAGCTCAATTCCAGGGGGAAAAGGTAGATCATTTAATATAGTGCTGACATAATTAGTATCTAGCTGAGAAAAAAATAAAGTTGGATGCCTCTTTTATACCATATACAAAGATAAAAGAAAAATTAAAACCATACAAATCCTGAAAGAGAATCTAGGAGACTACATGTACAATCTGAGGGTGACCTTCTTAACCAAGACTGGAAACCCAGAAGCTGTAAGAGAGAAAAGAGATAAATTTGACTACATAAAAATGTAAAATCTTACTGTGGCAAGAGAAACCATAAACCCAGTTAAGAAACAAACAATGGAAGTAAAAAAAAATCTTCAGCCTAAAAGACAGAAGGTTAATATTTTAATAAAATGAATTAGCACAAATTATTAACAGAACCCTATAAAAAATAGGCAACATCCATAAATAAGCATCTCACAGTGAATAATCCCAAGTGAATAAACATAACAAGAAGGTGCTCACACTTACTAATAAGCAAAGAAAGATGAAATAATTTTATGTACATTAGATGGGCAAATATTAAAAAGATTAATAATGCCAATTGCTAGCAAAGACATAGGTCTTGTCATATATTGCTAGTAGAAATGTGAATTATCACAGATTTTTTGAAAAGCAATCTAGCAATATTTAATAAAATTTAAAATACCTCTTTACTTAGCAATCTCATGTCTGGGACCCTTTTCCATAGAAATAAAAGCACTAGTAAGAAAATACTTGCAAAGATATTTATTGCAATGCTGTTCATAGGAGAAAAATATTAGAAACAAAATGTTATAGCCCATAAAAGTGGAATGGTTTGAAAAATTATGACATAGCCACACCATGGAATATTATGTGACCATTAAAAGACAATGAATTATGATTCCAGTCAAGGGCATATACCTAGGTTCAGGTTCTCCAGCCCTGGTTAGGGTGCATGCAGGAGGCAACCAATCAATGTGTCTCGATCACATTGATATTTCTTTCTGTCTCTCCCTCTCCCTTCCACTCTCTCTAAAAATCAATGGAAAAATATCCTGAGGTAAGGATTAACAACAATAACAAAAAAAGACAATGAAATAGAGCTGTGCCAGGTGACTTGTAATATAATCCCATTTTCAATGTTCCATGTGCTGTGTGTGTATATGTAAAATGGCTAGGAGGGTCCTGGCTGGTGTGGCTCAGTGGTTGAACATCAAGCTATGAACCAGAAGGTCACGGTTCAATTCCTGGTCAGGGCACATGCCTGAGTTGTGGGCTTGATCCCCAGTGGGGGCATGCAGGAGAGAGCCGATCAATGATTCTCTCTCATCATTATGTTCTATCTCTCTCTCCCTTCTCTGAAATCAATAAAAATATATTTTGAAAAATAACTAAGTAAATAAAATGGCTAGGGGAGCGCTATGTGGAGGGGAGCTAAAGGGGGAAAAGTGGAGGACATTGTAATACTGTCAACAATAAAAAATGGCTATGACTATATATGTATGTCTATTATACTAAAAATAGATAAAAATATGGAAGAAAGCAGAGTAAATTGTCATTATTGGTTATTTGAGGAGCAGGGGTGATATGGATGAAGGTGGGAAAGGGTAAGCAAAAAGAAGAAAAAGGGAAAAAGACTTCATTAAAACAAAAACAATATACATGCTACAATCATATTAAAGTACATATGTAAAATTATGTATGGTGGTACGTATCATTTTATACATATATTTTAAATAATTTTAAAATAATTTAAAAAGCAACCCAAGTCTCTAAACTCCAGAGCCCATTCTGTTTCCATCTCAGTGAAGGGGGTAGCGCCTTTTCCCTACTTTGTTACAGATGAGCTTCTGCTCACAAAAACTTTTCTGGAGGGTTAGGTCCAGACTTGGTTGCCCATCAAAATATGGTCTTAACTTACCCTCCGCTCAAACTAGACCAATGATGCTTATCAACCAGGGGCCATTTGGTAATGTCTGGGGACATTTTAATTTAATTTTTACATGGTTGGTAGGGGGGTGGTGCTCCTGGCACCTAGTGGGGAGAGACCAGGTGATGCCACTAAACATCCTTCAGTGCACAGGACAGCACTCCTACCTCCCACCCCCAGCAAAGAATTATCCAGCTCTAAATGCCAATAGTATGGAGGCTGAGAAACCCTGAGCTAGACTGACCAGTTTACTCCACTATTACTGGGTACAAACTGGCATTTCCTGACTCTATACCAGGGGTGGGCAAACTTTTTGACTCGAGGGCCACAATGGGTTCTTAAACTGGACCGGAGGGCCAGAACAAAAGCATGGATGGAGTGTTTGTGTGAACTAATATAAATTCAAAGTAAACATCATTACATAAAAGGGTACGGTCTTTTTTTTTTTTTAGTTTTATTCATTTCAAACGGGCCGGATCTGGCCCGCGGGCCGTAGTTTGCCCACGGCTGCTCTATACTCTCTCCACTCTTATCTGTTTACCCAAATCCACTTCTAAGACCTACTTCTTTTGCCCGACTGGTGTGGCTCAGTGGTTGAGTGCCGACCCATGAACCAGGAGGTCACAGTTCAATTCCTGGTCAGGGCACATGCCTGGGTTGTAGGCTCGATCCCCAGTGGGGAGTTTGCAGGAGGTAGCCAATTGATGATTCTGTCTCATCATTGATGTTTCTGACTCTCTTTCCCTCTCCTTCCCTCTCTCTATGAAATCAATAAAAACATATTTTTTTAAAGAAAAAGATTTTTCTTTTTTGAAAATTTGAAAATTCTTCTTTAACCACCCAGCCCATCTATCTATCTATATCAGTGGTTCTCAACCTTGGCTGCACATTAGAATCACCTGGGAATCTTTTTAAAATCCTAATTTCTGGGCCTCATCCTCCGGAAATTCTGTTTGTTAGTAATGTTGTGGCCCCACCCCATAACAAAGAAACAGAATTTCCAGAGGATGAGGCCCAGAAATCAGGATTTTAAAAAGATTCCCAGGTGATTCTAATGTGCAGCCAAGGTTGAGAACTACTGATCTATATAAAAAGCTAATATGCTAAGTGTCCTTCCCTCTGTCTGAGTAATGACATCAAGTAGCTTCCTCTCCCTAGTGACCTAGCCTCCTTGCAGTTTCTTCAGCCCAGGAATACCACTTGCTTATAGCCAGATGGAAACACTTTACACTGTAACCAAATGTCTGTGAAGCGTTTTCCCATGCCTCATCTCATTTGATCCTCACAGAAGTCCTGGAGTAGGTAGATAGGAGACTCGGTAGAATCCTCTTTTCTTTTAATTAGCCAGAAAATGGAGATTTAGAAAGCTTAGAAACCTGACCCGACTTAAAAAAAGTAAGAAATGGTGGAACTTGAAAATGACTTGAGGTTTTCTCACTTCGCAGAATATAGTCAAACACTGCTGCAGTTAAATATTTTACCCTTTGTTCTCCCTGTGTGATCTACAATAATAATCTGCATCGTGTTGATATTTACTGCTCTGTTGCTGACAATTACCTCAAAGAGAAATTGGGGTGCTTCACTGGGCTGGAAAAAGTTTAGCTAAATCAGAAAGCAGATCTAATTAAGCAAGTTTGTTCTCTATCTATAAAAGGCTAAGTTAACTCGCGCATGTGTGACACATAAAAAGCTCTTGCTGGCACCAATTGCATGCATGTGTTTTCATCTGTCGTTGCTGATAGTGAATTTGGTTGACACTTCTATTATAGAGAAAGGGCGAATAGCGATATTAAAATATTTCTTCTAGTTAATTTCCTTTCAATGTGCATGAATTCGTGCACTGGGCCACTAGTGTATCATAACAACCTTGTCCCAATTCTTACACACTCATCAGGTATTTTGGGCCTTCTGACAACACTTACATTGTAGTCAAATTCCTTTTTAGCTTTTATATGTTATTAAATTTTCCATTGTTTTACCTACCCAACTTAATTTATAAGCTATTCAAGGAACACTCAGTAGAGTACAGTTGCAAATGTAGGTCCAATGCACATAATCCTCAGAGGAAAACAGAAGCCACTCACCTTGGGGGCAATACGGACTCGTTTGCTGTGGCGGGCAAGCTCTGAGCTCATGAGTGAAGCTGCCAGGGGCAATGGCACCTTTACCGAGGGCTGTAACACCAGTGGCTGGTTCACTGGGAACCGAATGGGTACCAGGTATGAGCTGACCCGGGGTAGCAATGGCTTCATCTTCCGCCCTGGGGGGAAATAGGAGAGTTAAGGGGTATGGGTCCAGAGACACACCCTTCTCAATCCCAGGAGCTGTGCTCAGATCCCTTTGAGCTAGGCACAGATCCCTTTGAGCGAGGCACAGAATCCCAGAGTCTGATCCCCTAAAAATATGCCCCCAGAACAAGGATTAGGTCTGAGGCCCACTCTCCCATACTAACGTGCGCCCAGTGGGAGTGCAGTTTTGATGGTCACATTCCGGCGGAGCTCAGGATTGGGTCGTTTCTGCTGCTGTATGTGGCAGATAGGAAGAGAGAGAAACCTGGGTTAATAAGGCAGGGGAGGAGGCGGGAGAACCCACCAGCTGCTCTGGTACTATGCACTGAGCTAACCAACAGCCCAGAAAACAAAGCTGCTCTGGGAGGATGCAGGTGAGCAATGCCACCAAGCCTGGTTAATGGGAAAGGTGGGCAGCACACAGGTTTATGGTGACAGGTCCTAGCACCTCATCCATGTGTCCTCACCACCCCCAGGGGATGCTAAGGCATGTAGTTCTAAGAGTGACAAAGAAAAGCCAGGACAAAAGTGAGAGAAAACATTGCTTCCTGCCAGACCTATGCCATGCACTGTGGTTGCTGTCTTGCACCAAGCCCATGGCATGTCCTCCTGCCACGCCCGCTCTGCTCAGTGCACCTTCATGGTCGCCCATGTGAGGGGAAGGAGAAGTGGGCCCTCCTCTGGGGAGCTGAGGTGACAGTCACACATTTCCTCACTCCAGAAGCTTGGTGCTCTGTACTTAGGGCTGGCAGTCTTGTCCCTGTCCGCTAAAGCCATGCTAAGCAGTGAAAGGAAAATAAGGCCAAACCCCGAGCCAGAGGGAAAGAATCTTACTGATTCCAAGTGCTCGGGTGATTGTGGAGACCCTGGGTCCAGTGGCTGTGGTGGGCAGGCATTGTGGGAGAGAAATGAGATGAAGTTACCACCAGCATGGTCAATCAATCTGACCACATTGGGAAAAACACCTATTCCTGCCTGATGCTGAGGGCCACCCTGGTCAACTGTCCCTCCCAACAGAATGGTTATGGGCACTCTGAAATCCCAAAACAATCACTTCTAAAGAGTTGTTCAGTTGGCTCGGTTTCTGGTCTCCAGCCTAAAGAAGGGCTTTTAAAAAACAAGGTTTCTTAGACTTTTTCTGTAAGAATCACCTGAGAAGCTTGTTAAAAAAACATATTTCTGGGCCCATCCTAGACCCCATTGAATCAGAAGCCCCAAGAAAGGGGCTTGGGAAGTTGTGTGGTTTTTTTTAAAATAAATTTTTATTGATTTCAGAGAGGAAGGGAAAGGGAGAGATATAGAAACATCAATGATGAGAGGGAATCATTGATTGGCTGCCTCCTGCACACCCCCTACTGGGGATCAAGCCCACAACCAGGGCATGTGCCCTTGACAGGAATTGAACCTGGGACCCTTCAGTCCGCAGGCCCATGCTCTATCCACTGAGCCAGACGTGCTAGGATGGGCAGTTGTTTTTTAATAAGCATCCCAGGCAGTTCTTATCCACAGGGCAGTTAGGGAAATGCTATTCTGGGAAGTCCTCTTATGTGGATCCAAGTAGTCCTCTCTATGGCCTGGTCTAGTACTAAAGTGGGTCATTTGGTATTTGTCAACTGTACTTAATTGAGTTTTATGCAAATCACCTATGGGCCAGCTGGCATCTAACTCTCCCCAGATCAGATAAGATCATGACAAGGACCACTGGTTTCTTTTTGAGATGGATATTACAACCTCCAACTCTGGCCCCATTTAGAAGAAACCAGGACACTCACCTTAAACACCTGGTCCAAGGTCAAGTAACGATTGGCACTGGGGTGAATGGTCCAGAAGGAGACCTTGCCATTGGCAGACGTCTCTCGAACAAACATGTCATGAAGAGAAAGGTTATGGCGAATGGAATTCTGAAAGAAGAGACAACCGGTTATCAGCTATTTTAGCTACAGAAACATCACCCTTGATGTTTCCTAAGGGGATATGAGCCTCAGGCCTCACCCACTGTACCCAGCACAGACTTTGTCGAGTGTCCAATTCTATCCCTACCTCCACACTGCAGAGCCGTCCACCTCAGCCATAAACCCATCTATCCTACGGGGATAAAGGCGATACCATTTCTTAGGTTTGTGTTAAAGAAAAGACCTGGATAGCTGTCAAGAGCTAGAAAAGAGGAATGAGACTTTGAAGCAATAATCAATAGCAATTTAGGAGAGTAAAGAAATAAGAAACTTGGGCCCTAGCTGGTTTGGCTCAGTGGATAGAGCGTTGGCCTGCAGACTAAAGGTTCCCAGGTTCGATTCCTGTCAAGGGCACATGCCCAGGTTGTGGGCTTGATCCCTAGTAGGGGGCATGCAGGAGGCAGCCAATCAATGATTCTCTCTCATCATTGATGTTTCTATCTCTCCTTCTCCCTTTCTCTCTGAAATCAATAAAAATATATTTTTTAAAAAAAGAACGAAATAAGAAACTTGGAAATTTAGTTGAGGTAAGAATGTGAAGTTAAAAGTTCTACTGTGGGGAGAACAAAACAAAAAACTTTGGCTTGAAGCTGAGTATGTCAAAGGACCTGATTTGTGGCTCTGACATTGTAGTGTGACCTAGTGACTCCCAGGCATCTGTTTTCCCATGAATAAAATGAAAAAAAATCCCTGCCTTCTAGAAATATTATGTGACATTAGAGGAGGTGAATCATGAGCCTCACAGATAGCACTGTTTTTAAAAGATCTTTTCAGAAAGCTACTTAGTCACTCCAGCTGCTGTTCAATGTAGCACAAAACTGGGCTCAGTGCTACATGGAAGAGTCCTGGTAAACCTTAGGTAGTGACAGGTCAAGTGGCTGCAGAGTTCTTATTGATGATTTTGCCTGGATTCAGCAGGATCAAGTCATAATCCAAAAGATACAACTGGTTAAAGTTCTAGCATCCTTTAATATTCTCTCAGAGCACCAGACATCAAGTGTTGGACATCTGTGTAGACAAACTGTCGGACTAGAGTGACCTCCATGTGGGTTGTTATGGAACACAGTACCTTCCAGCCTGGCTTTGCCATATGCTTAAAATAGGGGAAGTGGTCCTCGATCCACGTGTAGATGTCTTTCAAGGTCATGCGCTTCCTCTCGGTACTGTTGATGGCGAATTGTATCATGGCCATGTAAGAGTATGGCGGCCGCTCAGACACGGAGTCCTGCCAGGATGTTGATCCTCCTGGGAGCTCCTCAACCTGAGGGTTATGAGAAACCAGAGGGAGAAAGACAAGGGAATGACATGGAAGAGTTCACAAGACCTCCTCCAGCCCCCCTTGAATAACATTCCCTAGAGAAACCTCTTATCCCACAAAAATCACACTAGGAACAAACTCATCCCAGACCACTATTCCATAGAATAAAAGTTTAGAATTAGAAAGGATCTTAGAGATGATCCAATCCAGTCCAACAATGTAGAACCACTTCTCTGTCTTTGTTAATTTTGTTGAAGATATTTCCCAATAATAAGTGTCCAGTTTTTGGTAGTTGAAATCTCCCAGGAAAGTTTGGGTATAAAACATTAATTTTATACAAAATCACACCCATATGGAGCCTTGGCTGGGTAGCTCAGTTGGTTAGAGCATCGTTCCAATATGCCAAGGTTGCAGGTTCAATCTCTGGTCAGGGCACATACAAGAAGCAATCAATGAATGCATAAATAAGTGGACAGCAAATCGATGTTTCTCTCTCTCTCTAAATCAATTAAAAAAAAACCCCACCACACCCATTTTTCAGACCTGGGGCCCATGAGACCTAGGTCTTACTCTAATTCCTTCTCCTGATGTGATGTGAATAAACCCATCTCCTTTCAATGTTTGCGTGAGAGAAATATTTCTGAGTACAGGACAGAAAAATGTCTACAAAGTGTAAATTTGACTAAGTCTTAGGCAAGGATCTGATTATTCACATTTCAAAATATTAAGCTTTAAAAAAATATTGAGTTTTATTATATTTGTAAGTTTATATTTATTTGATACGTTTATATAAATAACTTCATAAAGTATACAAGTTATAAGTGAACAGCTCAATTTTTACTTATGTACATATCCATGCAAATTTTCACTTTTAAAGGTTGTGGCATGAATGATTAAAAGGGATATACAACAGAATCCAGGTGTGTGGCAACTGTGAAAAAAACAACCCCAGCCACACAAGTAGGTCAAATCAATTTTGATTGCTGGGGAAATATTTAAAATTAACATCTAACTCACTTTATTTTCTAGTAACATATAAGAAAACTATCTGGTTAAGAATGCTATATTTCTTTCATACCGTTGGGTTGCTTCTTTAAAGTTTGGCTTTCCAAACTAAGATCTTTTTATCATTTCCTGAATACCTTAGGGCGGAGTACTAAACTCAGTGCTGACAGAATACCTGAGCCAGAGGAATCTGCCCTCAAGGAAATTCTGCAGATGGGGGAGAAAGATCCCAAGCAGAAAGGTAGCTCAAAGGTTAAACAGAATTGCACTAAGTGAACGCTGATACCAGAACTTGGAAATTCTGCTGCATAGGCCACTTGGTCCATTTCCCTTCTTAGAAGTTCCCTGCATGGCTCTCATGTCCCTAGTGAGTGACAGTTCACCTTAACCTGACTCGGCTCCAAGTGCTGATTTTCCTTTCCTTCCATCTCTTGCTTGATGCTGCAGGAGCCCAGGCCATCAGAACTCATCTTTCCAAGCCACTGGATGTTGGTCAAGCTGGTGTTAAGAGTGCAGCCTGCTGCCTCACTGCCAGCTAGAGGGGAAATAATTCAAGATGTCACTTGGCTGCCTGATCTGATGCCCAGCAGGTCCATCAAAATTGGTGGTTAGGGATCACCTCTCCAAGAGCTCTATCCTCAGGGTCAAGGGAATACATGCTGAATCTACTGTGGCACCCAGGAACTCCACCCCATTATGGATCTCAGGAGAAATTCAGGAGCACAGTTTCAAGTTGCATTTCAATCTGGGCCACACTGAGCCTTAGCGATCCGTCAAGGCCACCTTATAAAAGAGTTTATAAGTATCTGCACAGAGAAAACCACTTTTCCTCCTCATGCTTCAGTTTTCTCCTTTATTAAGATAGATAGAGATCCCTACTTCTTTATACAGTCAATGGGAGAGATAAACAAAAACAATACAGAAATCCTTTTCCAATATAAAGAAGGCAATTAGAAGTGCTAAATGATAATTACAACCCTTTGGACAGTGCCCAAAGGATCTGGGTGAAGGTTTCAGAATGACTTTCCCCTGGGTCAGGCTACATGCTACCTGTTGTAGGCATCAACATGACTGACTGCAGTCCTTGCCACCAAAAGGGAAAGGCTGAGCTCCTCACCCCTTTGCCTTGCAGACCACATACCACAGTTCTCCCATCTCTGCCCGAGAAGGGCTCCAGGTAGTCTAGGAAGATTCCCATCCGTAGCTGCAGGTTTTGGTCCCGGGGTCTTGGTGATCTCTTCTGTCCTCTTGGTATCATTGCTGGTTTGGGCCTGAGGTTGGGGTTCTGGAGGGTGAGTGGGGGCTCCCCCACAGCTAATGAGGATGAATTTGTTGGGCCCATTGCTGCCACTCTCCTTTCCTTTGGCGGTCAATGCTGTGATGATGCTCTGGATATTGGCATTGTTGGGGATGGCCACCACTTGGGTGTTGGGCATAGTGGGGTGGTTAATAATCTTGATCCCAACCGGAAACTTGCAAGAGGTGGACTCTGCCACCTCATTGGAGGCCTGTGCTTGACCAGGCTCTTGTTGGGCAGGGGGCCGTTTAGGCTCCTCCTCTGATGTTTCACCTGGGGCATTTTGAACAGGTAAGGGCAGCCTCCGTCTTTTGAGAATCAGTGGCCGATGGGGGCTGGTTTTCATTATGAATCTATGTTTTCATTCTCCATTGAGAATCACAAGAATGGACCCTGGAAAGTGCAAGGAGCAGCAGGAAGTCAGAAATCTGTGAGGATGAGAAGGTTTTGTTAGAGCAGTGGTTCTCAACCTTCCTAATGCCATGACCCTTTAATACAGTTCCTCATGTTGTGGTGACCCCCAATTGCATTGTTACAAATTGAACATAATTAAAGTATAGTGATTAATCACAAAAACAATATGTAATTATATATGTGTTTTCCGATGGTCTTAGGCGACCCCTGTGAAAGGGTCGTTTGATCCCCAAAGGGGTTGAGACCCACAGGTTGAGAACCGCTGTATTAGAGAGAGGTGTTCCTCTTCCTATGACCAGGAGCGTGAGCCCAAAGGCCCAAGTGAACACTCCCTGGGCCTTTGTTAAGATCTCAGACAATAAGGAGATGAATTCCACTGACAAAAGAAAGCTAAAACTGAAGCAAACAGAAGCAATTTTAATGGGAAAAGTGGGGTTGAGTTGAACTTAAGTCAATGCAGCCAAAGGTCTTTTGGAAGCTTGAGAATGTTTGGCTGCAGAAATAAGTGGGGCACATACAAAATGTAGAAATGACCAGTATTGCCTACTAGAATTCAGATTGCTTGCAGTGACTGTAGGGACAGGAATACTGGGAAGGTGGCGTCCAAAACTCTGATCCCATAATCCATTCTAGGATAGAGCCTTTATATTTTTATAACATCTTAGTTTATAAATAAAAGGGTCAGTGCCAATAGATTCAAGAGAGAAAGGCAGATTGTACCATTGCACTATTTCCACATCACTGAAGGAACATCCCCAGTTCACAAGACCTCAGATAAAAGGGGAGCGCTCTCCTGCCAGGAGCATGCCAGAGTCTTTCCCTTCCCCCACAGGTAAGCATCCCCTAAATTCTAAGAGACCACACTAGACTTGCAACCAGGGAGCAGTGAGCCATAGCAGCTGGTCCTAGGCAAACCCCCTGAACCTGTCCCCAAGGCCCCCTTTTCTCCGACTTATTAATGAGTCAAAGCACCTAGTCTCTCTCCTATTGCTTTTTCTATCCTAGGCCCTTCCTTGTTTCACTCTCCTCAGCTTTAATAAACGTCCTCTAAAAAAAAGAGGGAAGTCACAGGCATGAGTCTACAGGAACTGAGTAGGTCTGTTGGGGACAGGACATTGTGGACGTCACTCATTCATAGGGTCATCAGGCGTAGGAGCCAACTCAACGGCACATAACACACATTCAGCAAATTAAAATGATTCATGCATCTCAAAAAATAAAAATAAAAGACCTTAGATAAAAGGAAAGCTGCTCACTTCAAGGCTCATGGTAACATTGAGCAGACTGTGCACTGCATAGCAAGAAGGGGTACCATTCATTTCATAGGCTAGTATGCTTGCACTGATTTTCAAAAAGTACATTTTGCCCTGGCCAGTGTGGTTGGAGTGTCAGCCTATGCACCAGCAGGATCTTGGGTTCGATTCCTGGTCAGGGTATATATCCAGGTTGCGGGTTTGATCTTTGGTTGGAGTGTATACAGAAGGCAACCTATCCATGTTTCTCACATTGATGCTTCTCTCTCTTTCTCTCCTTCTCTAAAAATCAATAAAAACATATCATCCAGCGAGGATTTAAAAAAACAACCTGCCCAACCGGTGTTCAGTGGTTGAGTGTCGACCTATGAACTAAGAGGTCATGATTCGATTCCTGATCAGGGCACAAGCCCAGGTTGTGGGTTCGATTTCCAGTGTGGGGTGTGCAGGAGGCAGCCGATCAATGGTTCTCTCTCATCATTGATGTTTCTATCTCTCTTTCCCTCTCCTTTCCTCTTTGAAATAAAAAATATATATTTTTAAAAAGTACATTTTTCTTTCACAATTTGCAAAATATTTATATAGTGACATTCTAGTACTTGCAGGTGCTTATTCACATTTTAACTTTCTAAGCATGTGACTGTGTTAATTTCTTTTCCAGACCAAGACTATAGTCCACATCTCCTACTAAAATGTGCTGCCATCAATATAAGGTAATTTTGTAATGTTAAAAAAATAGTTTTATCTGTTAAAAAATTGTGCTTTGCTGATTTTAATAGATATATAGAATACTCTACCATTATGTAAAATTGTGCAATCTTATTTAGAGGTACTTTGACAAAGGAATGGGCTGTCTCTTTTATAGGACCTCTGATATGGCCCTAAAAATGATCATCACATTCATGACATTTGCCATCTGCCCTTTCCACTTTTCCTCCTCCCTTTCCTTTATTTCTGGGTTTCCTCTACCTTCAAATCTCAGTTTTACTTCTACCTCGTATCTCAAGCCTCTCTCCCTCCCCCATCAATCAGTAGATACTATTCCCCTCCCCCCCCCCAAAAAAAAGACACCTCCTAAGGCTTAATTTTCCCTTCTACTCTGACCAGCCTCTTCCTATCTTGTCAACACTTTATCTAGCCCAGGAGCTTTCCAGAGTGACTCCTCTGACCCCACCCCCATATTGACCAGGGAAACCTTGCAGGGTTCTCAAGAACTAAGAGAAGGGTCCTTTAAGAGGCGAGAGTGGAAGCAGTGTGGTATAATGGGGAGAGCACCTGGAAGCAGGTTTGTCTTTGACTTAATGCACAATCGGCTCAATCTTCACCCCAGCCACAGTCTGCCTAGGAAAGGAGGCCACCAGAGCCCTTCCAAGGCTGCGGGCGGGGTGCAGAGGTCACACTTCCAGGGAAGGCCGAGGGGCGCTTTGAGAAAGAAATGAGGTCAGGACAGGGGGTTGGATGCAGAAAAAAATGTGCACTCTCGCTCAGACCTCCTTCCTGAGCGGCCCCAAACCTCCACTCCGGTCCCAAGCCCTGCTGCTAGACCCCCTGACCGCGGCCCCCGACCCCGCTCCCCGCGGGCGCCCCAACCCGGCTTTAGCCTCCATTCCTTGGCTCCCGCTCACCTCCCAACTGCAGTCGCCGTCTCCGCTGGTATGAGGCTCCTAGGGCGGGCTCCGGGCTCCTCCAGCCCGGGGGCCGAGCCAGGGCGCCGGGCAGGGACTCGCGCCAGGCCCGCCGGATCCCCGGCGGTGCGGGAGGGGTGGGGAATCCCAGGGGATCCCGGGAGGGGAGGGGGTCCCGGGCCAGGGGCCGGGGGTGGGGTCGGGCACCGGAGCTTTCAGTTTGTTCCGCTGTTTAAAATTGGCGCCGGCGGAGCGTTGCGGTCACGTGACGGAGCGTCGCCAATCGGCGCCGGCCCTTGTCTCCGCGTTCCGAGGTCGAACGCGGCGGCAGCTGGGGGAGCAGCGGCCCGGACGCT